AGCTCCTTATTTGTACCTGCAAAGCAGTAACTGCACCAATGGAGCAGTGAAGTGTCCAGGTGCTGTTTGTGTGGGGCACCCCCGGTTTGTCTGTGGGCAGAAATACTCTCTCTGTAGGTGGTAACACCTGTTTTTTTTCAAGTACATGTTCTTTTGTTTCTCCTCTTCCCCCTCCCCCAAGAGTGACATCTACCTCTGCAATTTTCTTGTAGTGTAGGATGTGTGGGACCATACTTCTTTTACAGTTCTCTTGTGTGTTGGCTTACCAAATCCTCAGCTTGTACAAACTGCCATAATTCACTGAAACTGACAGAAGTATGTTGACTCCAAAACCGGCAGAGAATCTGCATTCATTAGTAGTGGACCATGATCCACATGAACTTGTGGAATAATCTACTGCAATTGTTGTGGGGATGTACAGAGATATTCCTGGAGAGTCTACTAAGATTTAAGATTTGCTGTAGGCCACAGCTGGCTACTGTCTAAAAAGTGAATTTTTTTTATTTTTTTTTTCTCCTGTTGTCTCCTACAGTTATATCCTGAGTGTCTCTCAAATTTCCTTTAGTTTTGTTACCTCTCTAGCAGTTTGTGGCCTCCCTAAAGCATATTCACTGTCCCTGTCTGTGGGAGAGCCTAATTTCATCATGTCTGTCAGTCTGGTAACCAGCAGCATATTGATACTGAGTGAACTGCATGGCATTTAAATGTAAATCTACTGTCATGAACTCTAGGCTTATCATGGCTCATTATTTTGAGGCAGGCACAGTAATTAGCACGGGGTGTACTCTATAATAATTAGGAATGTTTTACACATCAGATGGTGATGTTGAGTTTTGAGGGCAACCACCTGGACTCAACCCTCACTAGCTAAAAAAAATATTTTTGTATTTTTTTTTTCAGTGTTTCAAAATGCCTGTGGTAAAATACATTAACTGTTTAATCACTAAATAATAGATCAATTCAATCAGTTAGCTGACCAGTGTGATTATTGGGACAAGTTGCTGGTATCCAGAGGTGACACTGTAGCTGAGATACACAGTTTGTGTGTTGTAATTTCTCTTGAGCACAAGGTGAAATTTCCACTGTCTTGAAAGCACACATTGCTTTCCAGCTCTCTCTCCTCTTTACCTGACCTGGTATTTGAACCTTCTGAACAATGGTGTCATAGATTTGTGGTATCTGGTCCAGTTTTTACTTGTTTTTCTTCATAAAGATGTAAGGTGACATTTCTAGTGGAGAAAATAATAATTATTAAAAAAACACCCACAAAAAACCCCACCAAACAAAACACAACCCAGAAATTTCTATAATCAGATCTCATTATAATCTCTCTGTGAACTTGTTGGATTAAAGCAGATTTGTTAAAACATCAAAAATTTTAGGGCTATCTTGGAAGCAGCTGTATTTCATGAAGTAAAATCAGGAAAGATCAGAATATGTACTGTGGACCTATATTCTGTCTGCAGAACTTGGGGGCTTATTCCTGACTTTCTGTAAAATGTAGACAGTTTCTAACTCGTGGCTTGTGTGTATTGGTTTCTGTACCTGAAGCTTTCCCTAAATTTTTGGTATTAGCTCATATGCAAACCCAGGAGGAGGAGAGTATTTTCATTTCCAGTGGCAATGCAAAGGCAGTCTCATAAGAAGATGTAGAAACTGGGCATTTGTCAGTTTTCATAAGCAGTGTATTTGAGAGCTGTGCAATTTGAAGACTTGCCCTGTTTCCTCCTCAGATCAGTAATTGCTAAACTCCAACATAAACCTTCCCTTACGTGCATTTGTCACACATGTTTGTATTCAGTGTGTGATTACTGCTTGTTACGAACTGAAGGCTCTTCCACAGCCATGGAAATACTGAGCTTGTAAATACCCTTTGGGTGCAGACAGCAGGAAAAGTTAAACATCATGCTTCTGCTGCCTCTTTTGCAGTTTGTACTCCTAAAATAATGTGGGGGAAATGCACTACAGTGGAAAGTTTAGTTTTATAAAATTATATCATGATAGGCTTCTGCTCATATTCAAAATTCATTCCCACTACTGTGTGTTACCATATAATTTCTGACACTAATTTTCAAAACATTAGTGATTTTGAGGAGGGAAGGAGGAGCTATATTTTGGAAAAAAAAAATCTCTTAAGTTCAAAAAATTGCAAGTGTTGCATTTCAAGGGGATGAAATAATCAATTTTAAACTGGGAAAGAACTTGTGGACACTGTATCCATGGAATAATGTCAGAAAAATTTAAATGTGTTAACAGTGTGGTGCCATTACAAATGCTTTTTTTGGCTGAAAAGGATCAGTAATTACTTGTAAAATAAAGAGACATCAGATTATTTCAGCTAGCCCTGGCTGGGCTCTTTGGAATGTGGTCTAAGTTTCTGACACTTGCACTTAAAGGAGGACATATAGAAGAAAAAAAAAGTATAGATCAAACAAAATTATACAAACATAGATAAAAGAGAAGGCAAGATGTAAAAATTATTCTGTAGAGGGTGTCACCATGGAACTGATTGTAAAAATAATTGGTTACCATTATAAATCTGGCAAGTAACGAAGATATACATTAATAGGAAAAAAAAAGAAGGTGGTTGGCAAGAAAAACAGGTATTTACATGAGGTCAAAGTCAGGATTGCAATTTTTTTTTCCCCAGAAAGACATGGTTGGAGGCTAAAATTGTCTAGATACTGCTTCCTTTTCAACTATAAATGGCTTCTATGTTTAACTCTTTAACATACTGTGTCACTTCACCATCTGTAAAGCAAGAGATGTTAGTGTGGTGGTGTCAGCTGTGCCAAAAAGCAAGTCTATCATATTCATCCTGCCATGGTCCTGAGCATCACAGACTATTTCTATCATAGGAATTCTTTGACTTGTAGTTTTAGAGGTAAAACCAAGCGTGTTTCTGTACATGCTAAGCAGAAGTTATAGAATTGATACAGAAGCTGCTGGATTGGATGTTTTAAATCATCTTACTCCAGAAGCCAGGGAGGAAAGAAAGAACTTAGAGGTAAATGAAAAAATCCAACAGCTCCACCTCATAACACACCCTGAGTACTGATGTGCACACTGGGGAACAGCAACTGATCTCTCATGGAGGGAATGCATTCCCTGTCCTCTTCCTCCACTGCTGTAAAAGCACTGCTCCTATTATGTCAAGGTCCATCGCATTTACTGCAACTTTGATATGCTTGACCTAAAAATATTGCTGTGAGTGAATTATTTACAGTGACTATGAGGAGCAATTTTCTAGAATGTTTCTATGGCCTGTGGGCATTGTACTGCGTGCATATGTATGATATTAACAAAAAACATGAAAATTACCATGAAAACTTGCCACAGTATATCACAGTTATCATTGCCAAACTGGGATTGTTCTGTTGCTTTACAGCATAAGGCAACATATGTGCAAGCCAACATTTGTTGTGGAGTGTGGAATAATGGTGCTGGTTTCCAATGAATGTTATTAAATAACTAGTGTGTAGAGGTTGGTTTCAAGTTGTATGAAGTATTATATATCTGTGCACTAAGAAGACATTTTTCCATTTCTGTACAAAAACATGGTCTAACAAATATCACTGATAAATTCCCATGCTAGGCACCATTAAAAAGACAACTGCTGCAGATTCTCCTCTTCAGAAACTAGTAAAATTTTGCAGTCCAGGTGGAAATACTTGTTTTATATTTGTAATGAGAGTGGACTGTGTGCCTAGGTCAATGCTGGCTGAGGTCTCTGCACCCTGGCCTCATAGGGTATGAATAGCTGTTCTTCCATTAGCAAATGTATGGACCAAAATGATGACCAAAATCAGGAGAAATGTGTATTTTGAGGAAAAGTACCGCCTTAAAAAAGGATGTAGCTTTTTCTTGTAGTGGAGTCTGGCCTTCCTCAATACCAATCATTCAAACATTATCAGTTAGCAGAGAAAACATATATACAGAAACTGCTCATGTTCCAGGACATTAGTTCTTCCAGTGTTGAGAAATTCCAGATTCTTCTGTTTTGATAAGTATTTTGATAAGTCTGCTAAAAACACATAACACATCTATAACTAGCGTTAATAAGTGTTTTGCAAAATCGAGATCTGGTTTTTTTTAGGTTTCAGTAAAGAACTTTGTTTTGTAGCAAAAACATACCAGCTACAGCTTAATTTGAAATTTTCTCCTTCTAGACAGAATGCATACCTCTGAGTCTTGCTTTTAATATGATCTTTATCTACCTGCAATATGTAAGTCTGTAGTAATTCAAATTCCCATTTTTGTAGAAATGGGTAAACCCAAAGATACAGGCTTATCTCTGAACGGTGTTGCTGAGAAATCATTTATCCATAGCAACTCTTCCTTTTAATACTCTTCTGTCTCTGACCATGATAGTATTCAGTGAGCAACAGACCATGTCGGTTCTTCTGCAGTCAACATCAGAATGAAAAAAGATAATCTTCTCAAACACCAATTTTAAATAATGTCCAAATAATTTCAGGATTTATATTTCTAGGGTGGCTATGTACTTTGAACTTGGGGAGGGGTCTATAAATATTAGTTTCACCTGTGACAGAGGACTGATCTCTTTCATGATTGAAATACATTTCTACCATTTAATTAGACTGATAACAGTTCAAGAAGTGACTATAGATGTGTTGTCCCATGATAGCTTTGACACTTTTATGCTGTTCAGTTCCTACACAGTGAAACGTGGATAGACCAAGCAGGCCCAGTACACAAGATAACTTGTGTGACCAATGTGCTGAGGAAACTTAGTAAATAATCAGAATAAAGTATTGTTTGTAAACACTTCCATAATGAGAAGAATTATATGAGTGATACCATGATCTGCTGTGAGTTTCCCTGATTTTGCAAGCAATTCCTGCTGCAGAGTATTCGAGTTGCACTGAGTCTAAAGGCTGAACTTACCTTGGATGATTGTGTTAGGTGAGAAATGTAGATTGGTCCTTCTGTGTGTCTGACCAGGTTAATACAGGGTTATAAAGGAATAAGGACACAACTGTGGGCTTATTTGCACTTTTTATTTTCTCATCACAAAACTCAGAGTGTGACATAGGTACTCAGTTTACAGTAACTTAACAATTTAACTGCTTTTCCATTATTATTTCTGGATATAATTTTGTCATCTTTCAGATCCCTAAAAAGAGCAAATGCAATAATATTTGTTTTCCTAAAATCAGTTTCATGTAAAATTAATTAATATTTTTTGATATAACATTTTTATCCATAACTTTTAAATCCCATCTGTTCCCAGCTGTATTTGTCATGACAAGCATAAAATAACCTTTTGAACTCTTCAAAAATGCCTAGTTAAATGGCAATTAAGTATTCTTTCCTCTTGTATCAGCCCTTAGGAGTGGATATACAGAGCATCCTGTCCTGTTATTTTTTCTGCATACATATTAAATAAGAATTTTCACATTTTCATTGGTACTGAAGCCTGTGAGGACAATTCCCCGGAAAAAGGCAGCGGGTTTTCTTTTCTAGTCAGCTAAGTTAAACACACTCAAAACCAAGCAAGCAAAAAGTGGATACTCCCAACTATTTCTCTGACCAGAAAACTGTAGCTTATAAGAAACGTTTCCTTCTCACTATTGCCTTCAGAGCTGCTGCTCCTCTCAACAGCAACTGTACAATGTGGGGCCACAGTTGCATTCATTGTTCAGTGAGCTTGTCCACATAGTTAAACCCACCGACAGCAATGAATGTTGATTGTGACCTTTTTGTAAAGCTTGGCAGGGTGAGGGAGAAACATCCTATGATGGTTAGGTGGCTATCTTCGGTGTTAAGGCCTGAAAGCATGAAGTAAGGAGGAGGATGGTTAGCTGGAGGGTACAATCAACGGTCGATGGTTTTCACTTTAATTCCAAACTCACCGACAGCGTTGAATGTTCACTGAAGCAACCACTACAACAGAACTCCATTGACTTGACTGCATCCTCAAATGTCTGAAAGTAGGGGGGGAAATCAAAATTCACACAGTGAATTTAATCATACAGATGATGCAACTTCAATCATTTTTGTCTTACCGACACCAACATCCTTCTCTGCCCGTCATCTTTCAGCCTTTTCTGCGAGGAGCTGGCAATTTTCCAGACTTCTTTCTATGAAAAGAAAATATGTTTCAGTTATTCAGGCTTTAAAAAATAGGTTAGAGATCCAGGCACGAGTGGATTAATGTTGTCTGTTATTTCACAAGACTGAACTTCACAGTAAAATAAAACATGAGATCCCATAAATGAACAGAGCTGGCTATGAGTTTTACAAATTAGTGTTGCCAATTAGAGATTGCTCAATTTAGCAAAATTTCTTCTATTGACGTGGTTCAATTGGATTAAAACTTGTTCAGGATTGATGAAAAATAAATTTCCTTTAAAGAAGGCTTAATTTTTAAAAAAAACATCTTGGAGAGAGATGCCTTTTTTCCCTTACAAATTTTCACACATGCAGAACCTGTTGTGTTAGTTTCCAGGAGGGAAAAAGGTGAGTGTATATCAAGGCTTGACCTATATTTATTTTCATTTTTTTTAAATGTGTCAGCATGTTGTGCACATCTAGCTGATCATCACACAATAAAATCCTTATTCTTAAAAATTTCCACAGTAACATAGCACTTCTTCCTAATCTTCTGAGCTTTCCAACTCAGTTGTCCTAATTATAATAAAAATAAATACTAGTTTTTAAATAAAATTAAGGTAGTAATTTTTGTGTTGTAGAAGGGTTTTAGAGGCTGGATAAGAAGGCAAAACATAGTAATCCAGATATGTTACCTTATTTCCATTTGTGAGCAGAGTTCTTATGCAGAAGGTGTTCTTGAAGCTCAGCTTGTCAGAGTTCCTTTCTGCTAGGTCCACTCTTAACTGTGCTGAAATTGAGTGACTGATCCATTGACTTGTATGAATTGGTGTTTGTTTGTTTACCTTATCCTTTGGTTCAAGATGCCCTCTACTCTCTCTCATCCATCTGTTGTTATTTATAAGACTTGATAAATGTTTGAGGGTTTGTGTCTGTACTTGTGTGAAGAGAACCCTGAGTTCATCAGTCATTAATATAGCCTACTGGAGAACTAGACAAGAATAGAATCTAATTTTCTTCTTTATGGTAGATTAGATGTGTTTTATTTCCAGAGGCCACTGTGATTACGAATATAGCTAAATCAAATAGATTTTAATTAAATCTGGCAGCCCACCTTTCTTTCCTAGTACAGCAGCACAGGATATTTGCTGCCAATACTTTAGCTTTGATTATTTTTATTTCTCCATTTATTTGTACTGAAATTTCAAAGCTTTAATTCCATGGATGTTAGGAGAAGACCTCTGCATATTGGCATGAGTGATGAGAGAATAAGGCTCTCCAACTTAGTCTGATGTGCATGTGCATCTGTTCATCACTGTTCTAGCCAAATGAATTAACTTGATGGTTTAGGGTTGCTCATGTTTAAGATCTGCCCCATTATTAGCTTGTTTTCTGTATTTCATTTCTTTCAGTACTCATTCCTGTGCCCTTATTCCCTGCTTCCATCTGTCACTTCATATGTCAGTATGGGGGCTTGCCTGGCTGGTATCTGGCAATTGGGATGGGGTGCAGGGGAAGGAGAGGAGCTGTGCAGAGCTTGTGGCCGGGTGGATTACAGCTTAGAAGGAATCGCTTTCATAGGTTGTTATTATTGCCTCCCCACCCCCCATCATGGAAAACCTCAGTATTTCCTTGGTCATCTAGCCTCTGAAATGGGCTGAAACTTCTAAGTACAAAAGGTATTTCTGGGTTCCAGCCCTGATTCGTGATGTGTGAAGGTTATGCAGGGTAAATATGCTTTCATCTTCTTTCATCTGGTTTTCATTATTTTTTTAAATCCCTTACCAGGCTTAGCTAGCTGTTACAAATGCCAGCTTTATTTTAAATTTTATTTCAGATCTGCAGGCTTATGTGAACATTCAGATTGGATGTATTTTTTTTTTATTTAAGGTTAGTAGGTCATAAATAAACCAAAGCACTTTCCTTGCTTTGAGCAATAGGGTCATGATGTACATGAAATATCGCTTTAAAGAAACTAGAACCTAACGTGAATTGACAGAGGAACATGAGGAAGTAGTTCATCGTGTCGCTGCAAAGGCCATGGGGATTTGGACTGCTAGAGCTGCCTGTCTTAGGAATAGATTAGATATCTTCTCTGATGACCTGTACTTAATTTAAGTGACTGCCTTTGCAAGTCCTTCCAGAGGGCAACTGTGTGAAGTAGAGCATCTCATCTTCAGTCTTCAGTCCTTTTCCTCTTGATGGCCTGACCTAAATTGAAGATATGGTTGTTGTGCTGCACAAATAGACAATTACTTCAATACTATGTGAACTGCATCTTCAATTCTAATTAATTACCTTTTCCATTTTGACCTTGCTATGTTGAATCAAAAGACCAACATTCCAACTTCATTGTACTGGTTAATACTGGGCAGCTGTTATACAATGCACTCATGTTAACAGCTGCCTTTTGCAAAAATAAGGCAGAAGCTCCCTCTCCCTGCTTAGAAATGGTCTAACAGATATGGAGCTGTCAAGTACTACTCTGCTTTGTTTATTGCCCCACCTTTTCCTTTCTGGCTCCTCTCTTGCCCACACAATTGCTAGATGAGATATGAAAGATATCAGCCAGGTAGAAGTCTGGCTTGCAGGCCACTTCAAACAGCTGCCTTACAACTGTCACCAATCTTACTGCTGGTACAGCAGGGAGATTGCTTAGGAACAAATACTTAGATGAAGACACAGAACTCAGCCTTGAGGCTCTGGTAGATCTAAGTACTTTTTCTAATGGCACATTAAAACAGTCTATCCAGATTGTCCACTGGTTAAAAATACCATGTTAACAAATTTGTAAGGTAGATCCTCCACGTGGTTAACAGCATCATTTTTCTTTTTGCTGACATGGAATTGTTTGTTAGCGGAAGGTGGAGTTAAAACGTTTTGAAGCCAAATATTCATTTGTATAAAAGGAAGACAACAGAACAGTGTTCATACTGATACTGCAAAGTTATCTCATAGATGCAGTTGTTGGCTACTTCCACCTTCCACTTGCCATCTTCCACAGTCTGTCAACAGACTTCCAGTTATACACTTGGGGACAGGAAGAAATGCAATGTGTGTATGTGGTTTTTTTAATTGCCTTCCTTGCAAAAGTGAATTCTAGTGGCAGGGTCTAAAATTGGCAGCAGCACACTTGGGATCAGATTCTTAGCTAGAGCAAACTGACACAGCTCCATTGATGTCAGTGGCATCTGCGTTGAACCAGCTGACACTGGACACTCATCTGGAAAAAAGTGAATTAGAATGATCAGTTATTGGTTCTTATATTTTCAATTTTTTTGTGTTGTGTTCATCTTTTTTTATTAAACCTTTCTAAAATGACAGATTTTCATGTTGTATTGACATTTTACTTTCAATAAATCATCTGTAATACTAAATCTCAGTAAGTATTGACATGGCTGTGCTTCCACTGAAAGGAATTAAGTCCAGTTGACTGTAGTTATTAGAAATTCAATTTGTTCTTAGATGACTTTGAGTTATTTGCTGAAAGTAAGAAAATCTGTGCAGCTATCAAGACAACAGAATCAAATAAAAATCACTGTAATCAAAGATTCACTGTACTCTACAGACACTAACTGCAGTTATTTCTGCAGTGTGTTGGAGTGTAGCATCAGCTCCTAATTACTGATGCAGTAAATCTAAGGCTAATATTTTTCAAGAAATCCAACCACACAATCATCATGTTTTCATGTTGCCTTAGACCTATGGAAACATCTCTGTTCCCTCTGCTGGGGAAAAAGAAACCCCAGCCTATGTTTGAGGGAGTATTTCACCATTTACTGGAGTACAGCCATCTCTGGGGAAAAGTAGCAGCTGCATAACATCTTGAAGCACTAATGCATGCCAGCCTGAGACAGGAGCAGAAAGTTGTGAGTGCCTTGTTTAAATTCTGCATTCTACAAGGCTGCTTTTTTGTACATTACTCATATAATAAGGGGGTGAAAAACCAGAAAACATTTTGAAGTGAAATATGGTCCACAAAACTGGTTTTTAAACTAAATCAAAACTTGTTTGACATGCATGGCCATCACAGAGTGATCTGAAGTTCACTGTGTCTTATCAGAGTTGTGATGGCCCAGGAACTGTGACATCTCCAAACATGCTGCTTCATGTGTTTGTAGGCTTTGACTAAATTTTTGAGTAAGTTTGCTGTCAAAAAATTGACTGTGCTCTTGAAATGAAACCCATCAGTTAATATTGCATGTTTACAACACGGGCTATGAGGTGGGATACTGATTAGCCAAGCTAATTTAGGAACAGAACAAATGTGAGGAGCAGCAGTGATATTAGTTCAATCAAATATTTGATTGCGCTTCCAAAAATAATTTAATTGCAGAGCTCAAAACTATGCTTTGCCCATTAGAATGTTACCTGATTAGTATTTTATTAAGTCTTGATACTAAAGAAACTTCCAAGCCCAAATTTAATGTCAAAGTACACACAGTAATATTGGTTTCTTTCGTACTGTTTAGATTTATTGAGTCTCAATCAATAGAAATTGTTACTCTTATTTAACAGACCATAGTTGCACTCATGTTCCAAAATGGACTTTTATATCTGTCCTTTTGAGCCCAACTGCAATTTATTACTTCATGTTGTTAGTCCTGTTCGAAATTGTAAGCATTTTTCCAGCATACAGGATTCAGGCCCTGGCTCTATGAGATTTGCATTTTATTTAAAGCCAAGAAATTGCATAAATTCTAATACTGCCTGCAATTTCCCAGTCTTTTGGATCACAATTCTCCACTCTTTGTTGCTGGAACACATTACTATTTATGGAAGATATGCACATATTTCAGTGTCCATAAATCATATGTAAACATCTGTTCTGTAGATCAGTAGATGGAGTATGGTAACTGGTTCTTACATTAATGTCCATGAAGTAATGCTCACCTATTGATGTTAAACTTTATTATTTTAGCAAATATATCGGTAATTTAACTTTTCAGGCAACGTTGGTCAAAACAGTAGAAATTGCAAGCATAGAGTTAGTTCTGTGTGGCCTGTACCTGAAAAATGCCCAGCGAAAGTTGTAAGATACAGGGAAAATATTCATTGTAACAGGATCGACCTGCCTAGAACACAAAAGGTTATGTTAATAATTCTCTCTGCACTCATTTCTTTGAAGAGAATTTCTTTCCCTCCCCCTTCCTGTGATAGCTTTAAACAGGCATCCTTTTCTTATTTGATGAATCTGGACTGTGTGTAGTGGTCTACATTTTTGTCTTATTAGTATGATCTATTTCCTATGTGGTTCTGCAGGCAAGGTTGTAAGGCCAATAACTGTGAAGCTGTGCTCTGAAAACATATTGTGTGTGTGGAAACCAGAGCTGTGTATGAGGCAAAATGTAAGAGGTGGGAAAGACAATATTGTAGAATAGCACGGGTACAGGATGGAAAGGCAGAGGATAAAGTTTTCTTATTCTGTCTTCAATCTCAGTGTTAGGATTCCTGGATAAAGTGATTTCACTTGTGAAGAGAAGAATCTTCAGCATCTATCCTGTTTAGCATTTATGTCGCCTTTAGTTGGTTGTCATATGTACTATGGATACATTGGTTGTTTTTCAACATTTCCTTTGTGTTTGTATCTTTTTTTCAGGAACAGAGACTTGATACTTCAAGACTAGCAATATAAATGTCAGCACGGTTAAATTTTCATGGGAAGGATGTATGTATAAAAATGAAGAGCAAAAACATTCTGTATTTTAAAAAGTTGAGTCCTACTTTAGTCAGCCATAAGACACGAGACTGTAGTTCTTTTTCTGCAGAAAATGGACTTACTTTAAAGCTGCCTACTAATCTTCACATAAAAACTCCCAAACTGCTTTGAATTAATTCAGAATGCCCTTTTAGGATTTCTGGAGTATTTCAGTACTGTTTGCATGTTGTCTTTTATGTTATTCACAGTGAATATGTGAAATAGATACATTTAGAAAAACATGCTTGTGGGCTTTCAAAACCT